ACCTGCACCTGCTCCTCATACCCGACTAGAGCCTAATGCTGCTGTAATCCACTTGCCTGGATTGAACTGACGGCCTTCAGCTTACGAAGCAGACGCTCTACCACTAAACTAAAGTGACACACCAAATAATTGCATAAATCAATAATCTTCCTGTATCCTTTGCGGAGTGAGCAAACCTGCTCCTGCTTCTCGTACCAGACCAGATATTTATGGTGTTATAAGCCACTTGCCAGGATCGAACTGACGACCTTCTGCTTACAAAGCAGACGCTCTGCCACTAAGCTAAAGTGACGCACCAAATAACTGCATAAATCAATAATCTTCCTGTATCCTTTGCGGAGTGAGCAAACCTGCTCCTGCTCCTCATACCCGACTAGAGCGTAATGCTGCTGTAAGCCACTTGCCAGGATTGAACTAACGACCTTCTGCTTACAAAGCAGACGCTCTGCCACTAAGCTAAAGTGGCACATAGAGTGAGCACATAAATTAATAATCTTCCTGTATCCTTTGCGGAGTGAGCAAACCTGCTCCTGCTTCTCGTACCAGACCAGATATTTATGGTGTTATAAGCCACTTGCCAGGATCGAATTGACGACCTTCTGCTTACAGAGCAGACGCTCTGCCACTAAGCTAAAGTGGCGCACAAAATAACTGCATAAATCAATAATCTTCCTGTATCCTTTGCGGAGTGAGCAAACCTGCTCCTGCTTCTCATACCCGACTAGAGCCTAATGCTGCTGTAAGCCACTTGCGAGGATTGAACTGACGACCTTCTGCTTACGAAGCAGACGCTCTACCACTAAGCTAAAGTGGCGCACAGATTAAGTATATGAATCAATAATTTTCCTGTCCCGTTCACAAAATGGGCCATCCTGCTCCTGGTTCTCGTACCAGACCAGAAATTTATGGTGCTATAAGCCACTTGTCAGGATTGGACTGACGACCTTCTGCTTACAAAGCAGACGCTCTGCCACTAAGCTAAAGTGGCGCACAGAATAACTGCATAAATCAATAATCTTCCTGTATCCTTTGCGGAGTGAGCAAACCTGCTCCTGCTTCTCGTACCAGACTAGATATTTATGGTGCTATAAGCCACTTACCAGGATCGAACTGACGACCTTCTGCATACAAAGCAGACGCTCTAGCACTAAGCTAAAGTGACACACAAAA